GGTACAGTCACCAGGGGGGAGTGGGGCTGGTACAGCCACCACGGGGGGAGGGGGCTGGTACAGTCACCACGGGGGAGTGGGGCTGGTACAGTCACCACGGGGGAGTGGGGCTGGTACAGTCACCACGGGGGAGTGGGGCTGGTACAGTCACCACGGGGGAGTGGGGCTGGTACAGTCACCACGGGGGAGTGGGGCTGGTACAGTCACCACGGGGGAGTGGGGCTGGTACAGTCACCACGGGGAGTGGGGCTGGTACAGTCACCACGGGGGAGTGGGGCTGGTACAGTCACCACGGGGGAGTGGGGCTGGTACAGTCACCACGGGGGAGTGGGGCTGGTACAGTCACCACAGGGAGTGGGGCTGGTACAGCCACCACGGGGAGTGGGGCTGGTACAGTTACCACGGGGAAGTGGGGCTGATACAGTCACCACGGGGGAGTGGGGCTGGTACAGTCACCACGGGGGAGTGGGGCTGGTACAGTCACCGCGGGGGAGTGGGGCTGGTACAGTCACCACGGGGGAGTGGGGTGGTACAGTCACCACGGGGGAGTGGGGGCTGGTACAGTCACCACGGGGGGAGTGGGGCTAGTACAGTCACCACGGGGAGTGGGGCTGGTACAGTCACAACGGGGGAGTGGGGCTGGTACAGTCACCACGGGGTTGGTACAGTCACCACGGGGCTGGTACAGTCACCACGGGGGAGTGGGGCTGGTACAGTCACCACGGGGGAGGGGGGCTGGTACAGTCACCACGGGGGAGTGGGGCTGGGGAGTACAGTCACCACGGGGGAGTGGGGCTGGTACAGTCACCACGGGGGAGTGGGGTGGTACAGTCACCACGGGGGGAGTGGGGGGAGTGGTACAGTCACCACGGGGAGTGGGGCTGGTACAGTCACCACGGGGGAGTGGGGATGGTACAGTCACCACGGGGGAGTGGGGCTGGTACAGTCACACGGGGGAGTGGGGCTGGTACAGTCACCACAGGGAGTGGGGCTGGTACAGCCACCACGGGGAGTGGGGCTGGTACAGTTACCACGGGGAAGTGGGGCTGATACAGTCACCACGGGGGAGTGGGGCTGGTACAGTCACCACGGGGGAGTGGGGCTGGTACAGTCACCACGGGGGAGTGGGGCTGGTACAGTCACCACGGGGGAGTGGGGCTGGTACAGTCACCACGGGGGAGTGGGGCTGGTACAGTCACCAGGGGGAGTGGGGCTAGTACAGTCACCACGGGGAAGTGGGGCTGGTACAGTCACCACGGGGGAGTGGGGCTGGTACAGTCACCACGGGGCTGGTACAGTCACCACGGGGGAGTGGGGCTGGTACAGTCACCACGGGGAGTGGGGCTGGTACAGTCACCACGGGGAGTGGGGCTAGTACAGCCACCACGGGGAGTGGGGCTGGTACAGCCACCACGGGGAGTGGGGCTGGTACAGTCACCACGGGGGAGTGGGGCTAGTACAGCCACCATGGGGAGTGGGGCTGGTACAGTCACCACGGGGGAGTGGGGCTAGTACAGCCACCACGGGGAGTGGGGCTAGTACAGCCACCACGGGGAGTGGGGCTGGTACAGCCACCACGGGGAGTGGGGGTGGTACAGTCAACACGGGGAGTGGGGCTGGTACAGTCACCACGGGGAGTGGGGCTAGTACAGCCACCACGGGGAGTGGGGCTGGTACAGTCACCACGGGGAGTGGGGCTGGTACAGTCACCACGGGGAGTGGGGCTGGTACAGTCACCACGGGGAGTGGGGCTAGTACAGCCACCACGGGGAGTGGGGCTGGTACAGTCACCACGGGGAGTGGGGCTGGTACAGTCACCACGGGTGTGGGGGATACTGGTACAGTCACCAGGGGGAGTGGGGCTAGTACAGCCACCACGGGGAGTGGGGCTGGTACAGTCACCACGGGGAGTGGGGCTGGTACAGTCACCACGGGGAGTGGGGCTGGTACATTCACTACGGGGAGTGGGGCTGGTACAGTCACCACGGGGAGTGGGGCTGGTACAGTCACCACGGGGAGTGGGGCTGGTACAGTCACCACGGGGAGTGGGGCTGGTACAGTCACCACGGGGAGTGGGGCTGGTACAGTCACCACGGGGAGTGCGGCTGGTACAGTCACCACGGGAGTGGGGCTGGTACAGCCACACGGGGAGTGGGGCTAGTACAGCCACCACGGGGAGTGGGGCTGGTACAGTCACCACGGGGAGTGGGGCTGGTACAGTCACCACGGGGAGTGGGGCTGGTACAGCCACCACGGGGAGTGGGGCTAGTACAGCACCACGGGGAGTTGGGCTGGTACAGTCACCACGGGGGAGTGGGGCTAGTACAGCCACCACGGGGAGTGGGGCTGGTACAGCCACCACGGGGAGTGGGGCTGGTACAGTCACCACGGGGAGTGGGGCTGGTACAGCCACCACGGGGAGTGGGGCTAGTACAGCCACCAGGGGAGTGGGGCTGGTACCGTCACCACGGGGGAGTGGGGCTAGTACAGGCACCACGGGGGAGTGGGGCTAGCACAGCCACCACGGGGAGTGGGGCTAGTACAGCCACCACGGGAAGTGGGGCTGGTACAGTCACCACGGGGAGTGGGGCTGGTACAGCCACCACGGGGAGTGGGGCTAGTACAGCCACCACGGGGGAGTGGGGCTGGTACAGTCACCACGGGGAGTGGGGCTGGTACAGCCACCACGGTTAGTGGAGCTGGTACAGCCACCACGGGGAGTGGGGCTGATACAGCCACCACGGGGGAGTGGAGCTGGTACAGCCACCACGGGGAGTGGGGCTGGTACAGTCACCACGGGAAGTGGGGCTAGTACAGCCACCACGGGGAGTGGGGCTAGTACAGCCACCACGGGGAGTGGGGCTGGTACAGCCACCACGGGGGAGTGGGGCTGGTACAGCCACCACGGGGGAGTGGGGCTGGTACAGCCACCACGGGGAGTGGGGCTAGTACAGCCACCACGGGGAGTGGGGCTGGTACAGCCACCACGGGGGAGTGGGGCTAGTACAGCCACCACTGGGAGTGGGGCTGGTACAGCCACCACGGGGGAGTGGGGCTGGTACAGCCACCACGGGGGAGTGGGGCTAGTACAGCCACCACGGGGAGTGGGGCTAGTACAGCCACCACGGGGAGTGGGGCTGGTACAGCCACCACGGGGAGTGGGGCTGGTACAGCCACCACAGGGAGTGGGGCTAGTACAGCCACCACGGGGAGTGGGGCTGGTACAGCCACCACAGGGAGTGGGGCTGGTACAGTCACCACGGGGAGTGGGGCTGGTACAGCCACCACGGGGAGTGGGGCTAGTACAGCCACCACGGGGAGTGGGGCTGGTACAGTCACCACGGGGGAGTGGGGCTAGTACAGGCACCACGGGGGAGTGGGGCTAGCACAGCCACCACGGGGAGTGGGGCTAGTACAGCCACCACGGGGAGTGGGGCTGGTACAGTCACCACGGGGAGTGGGGCTGGTACAGCCACCTCGGGGAGTGGGGCTAGTACAGCCACCACGGGGGAGTGGGGCTGGTACAGTCACACGGGGAGTGGGGCTGGTACAGCCACCACGGTTAGTGGAGCTGGTACAGCCACCACGGGGAGTGGGGCTGGTACAGCCACCACGGGGGAGTGGAGCTGGTACAGCCACCACGGGGAGTGGGGCTGGTACAGTCACCACGGGGAGTGGGGCTAGTACAGCCACCACGGGGAGTGGGGCTAGTACAGCCACCACGGGGAGTGGGGCTGGTACAGCCACCACGGGGGAGTGGGGCTGGTACAGCCACCACGGGGGAGTGGGGCTGGTACAGCCACCACGGGGAGTGGGGCTAGTACAGCCACCACGGGGGAGTGGGGCTAGTACAGCCACCACGGGGAGTGGGGCTAGTACAGCCACCACGGGGAGTGGGGCTGGTACAGCCACCACTTCAGCCTACTAGAGGGCTGTACTGTACTCGTGTACACAGTCTACACTAAACTACACATGTGAACCCTAGGAAAAGATATAGTACACTTCTCAGCAGTTTACATCCACGTGTTGAATAAATATAACAATTATAATGTTTTTCATAAATAATCATACACAATTTCATTGCTATAATAATAATAATAATTATAAACGCATTAAAGATAACAATAATTAGAAGAATAACAACAAATATAATTTCAAATTAAATTAAAACAAAATTTTTTTGCCCCGAGGGGCGAGTTTATTGGGCAGCGCCACTCATCCTGTGAGTGGACACACCGCCATAGCAGCATGTACAACACTCCCCAATAGGAAGAAAACCCGCTGGGTTGTTCATCATGTCACTTGTACCCAGACACAGCTGGGACTTGCTTAACTGTCTCAAGTGAACAGTTTATGAAACAAGGAGATTAACATTTGTCAACCCTTTAAGTCTCTCGTTATCTTGCAGGTGCAAAATCTTCTAATAACAGTATCTATATTTGACAATTGGTATTTTCCTGTCTCAATGTGGGGTTTATTATTCTACACATATTTCTAGTGTCTCTCAGGTGTTCACATTCACGTAGATAGTGGTCAAGGCGGTGTCCGTCACAGATTCTACAACTCCGCTTCTCAAC